TTTTTTTTTTTTCATTTTTTTTAAGATTCGGCTCACAGGCTGAAAACAACCGTGACACGGGCCGGGACGAGCCACGATCTAGCTCGGGCTCGAGTCGACGCTCCAAAATGGTGCTTGGCCCGAGCCGGCTCAGTGATTCCAAGCCACGAGTGACCCGAGCCGACGAGCCATTTTATTATTCCTAATCAAAATCATCTCCAATAGTTAAACCAAATTTGATGTAACCTAGATCATTGGAGATAGTTTTACACTAAATTTTACACCAAAATTTATTTTGAATTATTTCATATCAAATTTTATTTTATAAATTATATTATTAAAAAAATCATTAAAATTAGAAATTATATTTAATGAAGTAAAATATTGAATTTATTAAATAATTGTAACTTTTGACTTTGTAATGAACAATTTTAATTTATTGTTGAAATAATTATTACTTATTAATTAATAAGAATTTAAAAATAAATGTTAAATATAAATAACCATCATATTAAGCCCATGCTTGGTAGAAATTTAATTGAAATCAAAGTCAACAACTAATTTTAACCATGCATTTTATGGAACCCACGACTTTTCAATTATGTATTTTATCAACTTTTATTAAAATCTACTAAAAATCTAATTTTAATCCCTATCAAACATGGACTAAAATAATTAGGAATAAATTAAAATATATTAATACTAAAATATTAAATAAGAACATATATGAAAGAAACAATTTTTATTAAGTGTGAATACAGGCAAAATGAGATTATAACAAAACAGAGGTGCTCTCTTCCCCAAATTGGGAAAGAGCCCAATTCAGGAAAATAATTTTTTATTCATTTTATTTCTTTGCTTTGCAGCTTTTGTCTTTTACACTTTTTTCAACTCCCCACCCCTACTCGTCCACCTCCCTCCCTATTTACTTTTCTTACGAGTTTTTACTCCATAGTCGTATATAATTTTTTCGTTTACTGTACAGATTTTTTTATTTGTGCAACAAAATAATATTTCATGTAGTGTACAGATTT